TTTTTTCCCCTTACCTCTGCCCTCCCTTCACCCCCTCCTCCCCTCCCCATCTACAAACACTTTATTTTCATCTTTTCATTCTCTCACATTTTTTTCTTTTCCCTTTTTGTTCTTCCCCTACGTATCACACCTTCCCTACACCTTTAGCTCCTTTCCTCCCATTTCTAAATGTCAGTAATCTTATTAGAATCTTATGCATTGTTGCAGAATATTCACACCAGGGAAACTATTCGGTATTTACACATGTGGGACTTATTTATTTCACTTAGGAGTATATCTTCAATATGTATCCATTTTCCTATGAATGAATCTATTCTCTCGCTCTTCACTCAACTCAGCCACTGCCTTTTCTTGTTCCTACCTTTTGTCCACAACATTTACAATGGAATGAAAATTCTATGATAGCCACATCTAATGGCTATCTTAGTTTTATCTTGTTAAAGGCTCCATTTGTAAAAGGTTAGCAAAATATATATTTCTAAAAATACTCTCTTAGTTCTGACAATATTTGTCAACATTTTTAGCTGCAACCTCTTTTACTTATTTCTTACTTCTTGGAGTTCTACTCTTAAACATTATACAGAGGGTCTAAATTGTAAGCCATAAGTCTATCATAACCATTATCTATCTACCTATGCTCAGCACTATTTTCCAAATTAATTCCTGGATATCTCCACACAGATGTTTCAAAATCATGCCCATGGTTGAATCCACAATTTTCCCCATAAACCTAATTCTCTTCTCGTAGTATTTCTTATTTTCACTAGCAACCTAACCTCTTAAGTTGAAAGCTTTGGTAACATCTTCCTTCAACTCTAATCTTATATGGTACATGACTAGCAGTTCAATCAGATTCTACTGCACAGGTTATCCCTAGAATATCTTCACTACTTTCCATTTTCACTCCCAGCACTCACACTCTGGTCCTCATCTCTTTCCACTTTGAACAAGAAAAATGCCCCTATCTGATCTACTTCCAATCCTATTCCCAATGGACCTTCCAAATTATCATGAGGGTAAAGAGTATGTTCACTGTTCTGTATTCCCAGTAGTATACAGGCACAATTCAAGAACCCAGAAATGGTCAATTATTATTATTATTATTATTATTTGGTACCTGGGATTGAACTCAGGACCTTTTGCTTACAAGGCAGGCGGTGGCACCACTGAGCTAAATCTTTGGCCCAGAAATGGTCATTTATTATTAAAAGAATGAATGCACTTGTCTAAAACACAAACATCATGTCACTCTTTGCTAAAAATAGCTTCAAGGCCACCTTCACACACAAACACACACACAAA